TGCATGCCTGAAATAGAAAATCAGTAGAATGTTAGTAAAATCTAAAATAGACTTATGATTCAAAACTCCAACATAACTCTAAAATTTGTAACAAACCTGCAAGGTATCTCAGTCAAGTTTCACAATCTACAAGCACAAGTCTTAGAAGCAAGGTCAACTGAAAATTTATGTGAGTAACAAGAGACCTCAAATTCAAATTCTCCTGCTTGTCGAGCAACTTGTTTTCGTGATTCATGAATTTCTTTATCCAACCTCTGCTTTGGATTTGGGCATACACTACTTCCACGACTTTTAAGTTTCTCTGCCTTTCTTTTATTTGCTTGAAATCTTGTCATGATGTAAATGCGAATCCATTCTAACGAACTAATGATTGGAAGCTCTCGAGCTTCTAAAAGCCTACCGTTAAATAATTCTGATGTGTTATTCATATTTCTTAATCATATCACACAAGTGGATGTTCTTTGCAAAGTTCCTTTTTGAATGACTTCATATCACACTTTGGATATTCAATAATATTAAAGAATATTAAATTAGTCTTTTTCTAAAAAAACAAAATTTACTTATGCTAATATAGTATCTAGTGTGGCAGTTACATGGATGTGAGATACGATGTGGCAGTTACATAGGATAACAAATGTGATAGCAAAGGACAAACTTTATTAACAGAAAAAAGATAAGAGACTAAGTTATAAGTGAGTAAAAAGTTGAAGGATTGAGAAGCAGCAAGTTATAGTTAAGGGACTGACTTATAAGTGAGTTAAAAGTTAAAGGATTAAAAGAATAATTTTTCCTAAAATTTAAGTTAGTTGTATTATCCGCAAATTATCATTGTCAACATAATATATATATATTGGTATAATAAATACTCTCACAAATAAACTCTAGTATCAGGAAAACAAAAAAAAACTCTAACAAAACATTAAACATAATAATGTTTTGTTAATAAACTCCATCAGTTCTTCTTGGCCAAAAAAAACTCCATCCGCTCTTATTATAAGGTCTTTGCATTGACCACTATTAATTTCATCAGCAAGGGAAGAGTGTGATTATAACAATCATTTTAACAAGAGTTATAGTGCATTCAACATCCCGAAATATTTTTTTTAGATACATCTACCATCTTGAAGTATTTTGTGGTGATGAATGGTTATACAATGGCAGTCCTTACGAACTAATGGTTCTATACTTCTTACTTGGTGTAGCTTGTTACGTGGGTCATGAGTAGGAACTTAGTTTTGGTCTGGGTATGCACCATTGGATTATTGTTGCATATTTAGCTCCTATTGCTGTTTTCTTGATCTTAATTGCTTCCAAAGAAGGTATTTGCCTTTTCAATTGAACTGGCCTGATTGCTTAAATGAAAGAATAATGAATAATATCCAAGTATATTGTCTCCTGCTTAGATTGAAAAATATAAAAAAAATTGCTATAGCCTCTATTCAAAGAGGAGAACTAAGTCTAGATATTATGAAAATTAAGAATCAGAAGGATTTCACTCTTACAGAATTGAATAAAAATAAGGAATTGATGAAAAAAGAGCATTCAGTACTCTGAAGTATATTTTGGTGCATGTAGCACCAAGGCAAAAAGAATATTTTAGGGTGCTAGATGTATTAAAAAATATTTCACAATGTTGAATGCACCTAAGAAAATACTTTATAGTGTTGAATGCACAACAAAATATTTTAGGGTATTGGATACACTAAAAAAAAAAAACTTCAGGTGCTAGGTGCACCTTAGCTTTTTTAAGAATATTATTATTGATACTAGGCTAACTGGCTGTAGAAATGGCCAAATGTCACTTAGTTCTTTTGTCATATTCATAGGAAGAATCTTCTAGTTGTTGATTTTTTTTGTTTTTTGTTTTTAAATTGGCATATGCTATATATTGAATTTTCTATTTAATTTTTGACCAAGCTTCATTTTATATACTCAATACTAAATGTAAAATCTAATTAAATCTGAACTTATATTTAGGGGGTGTTTGGCAACTCTCAAAAGTGTTTCTCAAAGCACTTTTCCGTAAAACGAGGCAAACTCCTCACATATTTACTTTGTAAACCGTAAAAGCATTTCTGAAACTATGGTTTGGTTTCCATCCAAACACCCCTTTAGAATTGGAAGTAGCAGATGAGATGGGTTTGACCGAACAACCTAACCCTAGAGACGGGCTTGACCAAACAACCTAATCTTGTTTGTGCTTTGTTTGTTTGAAACGGAATGAATTCTGATTTTTATTTACATTAAAGCATAGTTCAATAGTGTTACTTTTTATCTTTTAATATAAAAGTTAGTTGAATAATTTAAATAGTTTAAAAAATTATTAAATTAGTTATTTATAATAAATATGTATTATTTTTTTAAAAATACTTTTGCTAATCAAGTATATTAGCTAGAACTATCATTATTATAAGGACTATTTTGGAAAAAAAATATAGATATAAGAGATAAAATATATTGAAGTCTTATATTTATAATCAAAATAAAAGCTAAATAAACTCTTATATTAAGAATTAGATGATGTATTATATTATAAAATATAATAGAAATGGAAATTCCATGAAAGGAACCCACGACTGGCCTGAGTGATGGAAATCCTGCAAACATCCGAATTTGAGTGGTTCAAAAAAAATTTCTACGGAAAACTTGATAAGAAAATAAAAAAGTAATCCTCGACTAGAAAAAAAGAGCTGCATTTCAAATTGAAAAGCCTCCAAAATTTCTGGCCTTCCTTTCCCTTCCCTTGAACTCGAACTTCTCTTCAAGTTTCTCTCCATCTCCTGCTCACACACACAGAATCAGAGAGAGTCAAAAAACTAGTTTTGCATCATTGGATTTTCTCTTTTGTTTTTTTTTAACCTATAAGAATTTAAGTGCATCTATTAGTGTAGGTTATATTTCATATCAAAATTAAATATAAGACCCATTTTGTAGTAAAAATTACATGACAAAATATGTTTTATATTTAGGATTAGAGGAGTACTAGATATGCACCAAAAATAAAGTAGGAAGTTGAAAAAATTTTCAAAAATCAATTTTCCAAAAATATGAGAATTGAGTTTAAAGAAATAGGAAATATTAATTCTAAACCCAAAATAAGAAACCAAAAATTATATTTTCATCCAAAAATCCCAATTTTTATGAAAATTCCCAAATCAATCAATTAATCCAATAATATATAAAAAAAACCACTTAAAGACAAATTTATCATTTAAATTCTGAATTAATATAAAATAAAATATATAAAAATTTAGCTCTATCAGAATACATAACAAAAGTGTGTAAGGTTTAGTGTAGGAGGGACATTAAACGCTGCACAAAACTGCATTTTGTTTTCTTCCCCCGCACTTCAGCTTTGTAGTTTTCTTCTTCCATGATCAAGTTGAGGGGTGACTTTACAGCCCGGCCTGAGCGAACGAACGTTAACGTGGTCAAGGGAAGAATGCGCATCGAGGTATTTAGAAACTATCGGAAAGTTAGGAGTATCTTTTCATTTTTTTTGCCAACAGTAATCCAAAATAACGCATCAAATGTCAATTAATTAGTTATTTTGAGTGTTATAATTATTTACTTTCAATTTAAAAATCTTTTAAATATAACATTGATGAGTAAATAGTGATAATAGATATTGACTTTCAAATGATGAAAAATGTTGTCTTTTTTGGACAGCGGATGAAAAATTTTCTATTATCTTGATCAACGGGTATCAATGATGAAAAATAATAAAATTTAAGTTAGTTATATTATCCCCAGATTATCATCATCAATATAATATATATTGGTATAATAAATACTCTCGCAAATAAACTCTAGTATCTGCACAAAAAAAAAAAATCCTCTAACAAAAAACAATAATGTTTCGTTAATACACTCCATCTTAGTCTTTACACTGACCACTATTAATTTCACAGGGTCTGATGATAACGATCATTTTAAGAAGGATTAAGATGCATTTAGCATCTCAAAATATTTTTTTTAAGTACATCTAATACCTTAAAATATTTTGTGATGTATTTAATACTCTAAAATATTTTTTAGGTGTTTTAGCACCTTAAAGTACATAATTTTTTTGGCCCTAGTGCTAAATTGATGTACTAAAAGAATATTTATATACGCTAAAAACATCTTAAAAAATCCTTCAAAGCCCTCGATGTACCACGGAATACTCCTGCATCCGAAAAAATATTTTGGGTTGGTAAATTCACCTGGTCCTTTTTAAGAATATCATTGGTGCTAGGAGGCTAATTGTTTGTAGGAACCACCAAATATCGCTAAGTTGTTTAGTCATATTCTCTTTTTTTTTCTTGGGGCCAAAAGTTGTTTAGTCATATTCACAGGAAGAATCTTTTAGTTGTTGATTTTTTTTCTCTTTCAAATTGGCATGTACTGTAGATTGAATTTTTTTTTTAAATTTCTGACCAAGCTTCATTTTATATACTCTATACTAAATATAAAATCTAATTAAATCTTATCTGGGTCGGAAGTAGCGGACGAGATGGAGTTTGACCAAACAACCTAATCTTGTTTGTACTTTGGTCGTTTGAAGTGGAATGAATTCCGGTTTTTCTTTAAAAAGATTATATATACATATTAAAACATAGTACAATAGTAATTCTTAATATAAAATTTTATTTGATTTTTATTTTGATTTTAAATATAAGATTTTAATTTATTTTATCTCTCATATTTATTTATTTTTTTAAGATAATCATTTTAATAATAATAGTTTTAGTTTAATTAGCAAAGATATATTAGGAAAGACAAGACCCATTTAATACAAATAACTAATTTAATTTATTTTTTTAATCTATTTAAATTAGCTAATTAGTTTTTATATTTAAGATGGAAAGTAATATTATATTATATATTATAACATACTGCTGTAACGGAGATAGATATTCTATGGCGGAGCTAACGACTGGCCTGAGTAATAGAAATTCTGTAAACAGCAACATCCGAATTTGAGTGGTTTCTGTTAAAAATTTGCTACGGAAAACTTGATAAGAAAATGATAAAGTAATCCTCGGCCAGAAAAAGAGCTGCATTTCAAATTCAAAAGCCTCCAAAATTTCTGGCCTTCCTTTGCCTTGTGTCGAACTCGAACTTCTCTTCAATTTTCTCTCCCTCTCTTGCTCACACACAGAATCAGAGAGAGTCAAGCTAGGGGCGGAGAAGCCTTGATTTCATGGATGCGGCGGTAGTGGAGCTTGACAGTGAGAGCAAGAGCAACAGTATTGGTAGCCACGGTCAACGGCGCGTGGGTTTGCTGTATGATGAGAGGATGTGTAAGCACTACACTCCAGACAATGATTACCATCCTGAGAACCCAGACCGGATTAGGGCTATTTGGAAGAAGCTCCAGAACGCTGGTATTCCTGAAAGGTTGTTTATCGTTTTCTTAAAATTTGCACCTTTCTTTTTGGCCTAGCGACGTGAGTTGTTTTGTTTAGCTCAAAGTTGAGCGTGACGCTACTATTCCGGGATGCCCGCGGGAAAATGAGGAATTTCTAGACTTTGTTGAGTTGTTCATATTTTGCGTTCTAGAAAGATAAACTATGCTGTGCGTTTTTATTTCTGTTTTCATTTTCTTTGGTAATTTCGTGGCTCGCATGTTGGAGGCTTTTAGTGCCATCAGTGATTTTTGACGAGCTGAAGTGTGGGCTTGAATTGGAAGATACAGTAATATATTTTCGTTTATCCACTTGCTGGTTTAACAGCGGGAGGATGGGTATGACTTGCTCGATAAAGAAATGAGCAGGACCTTATCTGAGCTCTGTTGTGATTTAGACTTAATTCAATGAGTTGGGCAATAATCATTCTTTTCTGTCTAATTTATGGTGTCGTTGCTGAAATTTGGATTATTAGATTAAAATTTCAATTTTCTTTTTTGTCTCAATAAATTGGGTGTTTTTCCCTGTTCCAGATGTGTGGTTTTGGATGCCAAAGAAGCTGAAGACAGATATTTACTGTCTGTGCATTCAAAAAATCATGTAAAACTGATTAAGAAAATCAGCTCGAAACAGTTTAATTCACGGAGGAATAGGATTGCATCAAAATTGAGTTCTATTTATTTTAACGAGGGTTCTTCAGAAGCTGCTTATCTTGCTGCTGGCTCTGTTGTTGAGGTAATGTTTATGTATGATTCTATTTGATTCGATTTCCTAGTAACCTGGCCAATGAGTGGAATGATGACACAGTATTTTTCTTCTTCTGCTGTATTACTTTCATTCTTGCCCTCAATGTTTTTTATGCTATTATTGTGTTTGAGGATTCTAAGTCCATGCTCTTCGCGGATGATATAGTTCTTATGGCGGAATCAAAAGAAGAGATTAATACTAGTTTGGAGTTATGGAGAAGGACTTTGGAGTCGAAAGGTTTCCGTTTGAGCAGGAACAAAACAGAATATATGCATTGTGATTTTGGAGGGAGGCAAGGTAATAGGGATTTGGAGGTGAGGATGGGAGAGCAAATTATTCCTCAAGTATCAAAGTTTAAATACCTAGGATCCATTTACAGGAGGATGGGGAAATTGATGGAGACATTTCTCATAGAATACAAGCTGGCTGGTTAAAGTGGAGGAAAGCTACCGGAGTTATTTGCGATAAGAAGGTACCTGAGAAACTTAAAGGAAAATTTTATCGGACTGCTATAAGACCAGCTATGATGTATGGTAGTGAATGTTGGGTAATAAAGGGAAAACAAGAGCACAAAGTCGGAGTAGCAGAAATGAGGATGTTGAGATGGATGTGTGGTCATACAAGAAAGGATAGGATTCGAAATGAAAAGATCAGGACAAGAGTCGGTGTGGCACCTATCCAAGAGAAAATGGTTGAAAATCGCTTAAGATGGTTTGAACATGTGCAGAGAAGGCCTTTGGAGGCCCCGGTGAGGAGGGTGGATCAAACAAGATGGAGTCCCATAAAAAGAGGCAGGGGAAGACCGAGAAGAACGCTGAATGAGGTCATTGAACGAGATCTCCTAATCAACAACATATCTAAGGATTGGGTTGTTGACAGAGCACGATGGCGTCGTGTGATTCATGTAGCCGACCCACCTAGTGGGATAAGGCTTGTTGTTTGTTTGTTTATTGTGTTTGAGGATTCGAATCACTTACATTATTCCATGCGAAAATGCAGTTGACTTAAACAAACTAGTACAAATTTCGGGAGTTTGCATTGCTTTTCTTCCTGAGAAAGGCTTTGATGGAAAACAGTGAGGGGAAAAAGTCAATAAAATGAATAATCTTGGTGCTTATTCCTAATGTTAGTTAAAACTACTATAATCCTAAAGATGAGAAACTTTTTTCGGATTATTTAAATCTAGATAATAAAGATTGATCAATTAAAACTAGATTAAATCTAAACAACCTGGATATGCTAATGCAATATCATAATTTAAATAAAACAAAGAATCCTAGTTATTTTAGGATAGGAATACACTAACGCTGATTATGTTTCCCATCAGTCTTTCATCAATTACACCCTTGGACTTATTGCAATTAAATAGAGCCGGTACAGGCCAAGCCTGTATGGGCCAGCCTGATATGTTTGCCATCTCTAGCAATAAGACAAAGACTGAGCCTTTAGTTTCAATAACTTATGTTTAATAAGATTCTGAGCTTTCATGGGGGGAAAAAAAAGATGTAAACTTTTGAACCGAATCAAATTCCTATCTTGGTTTTAATTTGCTTTCATATGTGCAATTGATTGTAAATTTTAGTACTAATCACTGCACTTGCATAATATTTAAGCAACTTCTACATCTATATCTAATAAAACCCTCACAAACTGCACTATTAGTAAGTTACGAACGGTATGGCATATTTCTTAAACTTAATGTAGCATATGAGATCCAAGCTAATTTGTTAAAATATGAGAGTTTGTTGTGCATGTTTTTTCTTTTTCTATTGTTCAATCTGTCCATATAAAGAATTGAGCCTGAAATAAAAAATTTTGAAATCTAGGTTGTTGAGAAAGTCGCAAAGGGGGAATTGAATTCTGCTGTTGCTATTGTCAGGCCTCCAGGGCATCATGCAGAACATGATGAAGCCATGGGGTTCTGTCTATTCAACAATGTGGCCGTTGCATCAAGTTATCTCCTAGATGAAAGAGTGGGTATCAACTGTTATCACTCGATTTTTAAGCCTTTAATCAGCCACTTGGGGATTCCTAACCTCACAGTTCAGATGTGTCTTGTGTTGACAGCCCGAATTAGGTGTGAAGAAAATTTAATTGTTGTTGGGATGTTCATCATGAAATGGCACTCAAAAAACGTCTGGAATGATTCTCGTGTTTTACTTCTCTGTTATAGGTACAATTATGAATATTTATTGAGCATCTAGGATTTTGCTAATCCACCTAGATGTTAACTTATAGTTTCATTGATCCGATAATCTAGTCATGATAGGATGACTTGGTGGATACCAATGCTATACTGGTGCTTTGAGTCCATAAAATGTGGGTTGAGCATGTGCAAGGGTATTAAAACTGTAGCGGACAGGATGGGGTATGGGTCTTTGAGAAGTATTTTTCAGTTAGGCTTTTTAAGACATTGTTATATCACTTCAATAATTCATCCCAAGGTTTATAAGCTTTTTGGCTCATGCAG